TTATTTCAGCAAACATCAATAACTGTCACCGTTTTTTATATTATGGTTATAATGACTCCGAACGGTACTACAAAATTTCTTAACGCCTAAAAGTGACCTACGCTCCATTGGAAGTTAACTACCGCGGTCACATTCTAGAACGCGCGGCCGCCTGTCCTGACAAAAAAATTTGCGCGTCAGTGATTGGACCACCGTCAAGCCCCTTATCGGTCATTTGATTGGTCGCTCGGCTCTAGGTCGATTCACACGTGCAAATACAGCATGTCTGAGAGGCTCACCTCGTAGTATGTGCCGCGTGTAAACAGAGGCGGCCGTTTGTTTATAGTTCCGATGTAAATGGCTGCAAGAACGTGAGGTTTGTCACGATTGTTGTCCTAACATGCGGCGAACGAGATTTCGACTGGTGTAAACGAAACGGCCAGGCACTGAATCACGGAGTGATCACAGTCTGAAAAACCCTCTAACGTCCCCCCCCCTTTTAATCGACTCTCTCTGCATCGAAGAAGTTCACAAAGTGCCTCCCATACTGAGCATGACGTTAGCTAAGGCTGACGCCTGCCTGTTTGAACGGTTAGAGCAATGTCGTATTCAGAAACCTCTTTCCTGTCGCCTTCAAAATTAGTACAGTAGAATCCCTATCCCGCGAAATTTGAATCGAGATTCCAAAGGTTTTTTTTCAATTTGAATAAGTTATGTAAGTAGGGTTGTAGTAGCACTTATCGTGCCGTATTCTCCCAAAATATTTTCTGCATGTGAGGATGTCGAATTTTGAATGGGTTCCTTTCTGCTTGTCAGCAAAAAGAATGATGTGTAAAAAATGACAGCTTAAGCAGTATACACTTTTCTCAGTGAAGTTCGATGTCCTTGTCAATTCAAATTCATTTCGCTGAAACCATACCTCAAAATCCTCCTTCGTGCACGCATTTGCTACCACATTACATCTTCGTCAGATTATGTACTTATAGACTTTCTAAATTGCCGAATACGTTTGAACCCTACAAGTCATTACGACTTGATTAAAGGTTTGCGAAATGCGGCTTGTATATATTCAGTTCAGAGAAATCAAACGTTTATCTAGTTTATGAGGAAGAGTTCAAAGTGGGCTAATAAAATTTTGCACTAGATGTGAACTATGTTATATAATTTACAGGCAAAGGCAATAAATTGATGGATACGATTTCACGGTCTTGCAAACCTCGTGGTTATAAGCTTCGTTAGAACCACAAGATAACCTATATTCCGTTATACAATTTAAAGAAGACGTTATTTGCCAGAGAAATATTTGTGTGCATGTTTTCTGTAACATATTTTTGAATCTATAGGGAAATCGAAAATCAACAAAAAATGTTTACTACTTAGTTAGCCCATTTTACATGCTATTTTTGCATGCGATCGGGACGAAGCTCGTTCAAGAGCTGGCATCTTGATCCGACTGTACTGTTTTTGGATTAGGCTGCACGATAATCATTCGTTCGATTGCAAAACGTATTTCAGAATGTTGGTTTATATTCCATAAAAGAGCAAATATACCGTTTCGCATACATCCCACTGTTCGTAACTTATGTATGGGTGGTTCCGTCAAACTTTCAATGTCAGTACTAGGCAGAAGCCCGGCCAGCCATATCCGAAGTCAGTTTCAGAATACCTGGTATTCGAAGCGATCGCGTTACGCGATCTACGCATTCAACTGCGTCTTGGAGTTCAATGTAGCATCTTTGCGAGCAGTCACACAACAACCAGTCTGAAAGAAGAGGTTACCAGCAAGGACCAGACAGACTGTCATAGCCATTTCTGACGAATCAACCGTCATCAGCCAACCATAACCAACCTAAGGTTTGGATTTCGAATCCAGGATTTCTCGGAATTGAGCCAAATATTCTATAATTGAGTCATAACCAAAAGCCAGAAAGGACTGTTTCCATCGTCCTGGTTTCTGTGCGACTATCTGCTAGGACTCTACATCGAGTCCCAAGAAACAACGAGACGAAGATCGACGAGCGCTCTTTCTGCGGTATGTGTGTGCATATATTGATTTTTTTGCCTTCATAATCCCCGGAAGAGGAAGAAGAAGAGGGGGCAATTCCTGAGACCAAGTTATATTTAAGCTGACGTTTCGAAAACATTCTCACTCTCATCGTCAGAGCCTGATGCTCACTCTTCCTTCGGCTTCCAACGAATACGCCTCACCCCAGCCATGTGTTATAACCGTGCCTGATGCACGCGCATCCATCGATTGCACCGATCGATTGCTGCTAGTCGTTTGAATCGCTCTCGCGGGCGCTTTCATGAGTAAGTGTGCCACGCCGTTCATGTGACTTTTGATCG